CCTCCATTTTGCACCTGTCTCCTTTGCTCTGAGCCATTCTCTCCTGCAGTCAGTTTGAATTCCAGATCAGAACTGACTACTCCTCCCCCACCCCCAATAACTTTCTTATCATGACAAAGCCCCACCTGGTCATGAAAAACAGGACCACACTTTTGGCCAGGACGACTGGCCTCCTGCCCCAATTCTTCTTTTATTCAAACCTAAAGCTAATGTCTATACCCTAGTAGATGGGCTGAAATTCTTATCTCCTTTCTCTGACCTTCACCACTACTTGTCTCTGTAATTGGTGTATTAGAGCAAGTGGCAAAACCTGACTTGTTGGAACCCTGGAGTTGGGCCTTTGGTTACAATCTGAACAAAATTTAGGATAAAAGCCATAACAGGACACCAGTAAAACTATGGAAGACAAAAGAAGGAATTGGGATATAAATGACAGGGCTGGGTGTGGTGGTGAATTCTGTAATCGCAGTACCTGGGAAGGTGAGGAAGGAGGAATCTCAAGTTTGAGACCAGCCTGGGCAAATAGCAAGTTCTAGACCAGCCTGGGCTAGATAGCGAGACCCTGTCTCAATACTGTCCCCACCCCACCCCCCAAAAAAGTTAAAGAGAAAATATATAGAGAAGGCAAATTTCAAAAGAATTCAGTAATTAGAAACCTAGATATTAAGTGAGTTTCCTCTCCACCCACTATAGCCCCAGGAACACTGGTTGTAAATATTAATTTCTATGGAAATTGAGCTTTTTAAAAAAATTTTGTTGTATATCTTGGAAATTGAGTTCTTAAGTGAAAATGGAAAGATGGGATGAAGAAAGAGAGGAGCACAAAGGCAGATGGAGTTGAAGTTAAAAAATCTGCAGCATGGATGCCTCTGAGCTATACAGTTAAATATAGCTAAGATGGTAAATTTTGTTATGTATACTTTTTCACAATTTAAAAATATCTATTTTTTAAGTCATAGCAAAAAATTTAAGTGGGTGAAATTTTTTAAACAGCAAATTAAAACTGTTCCTTAGATAAATATTTGTGAGGGCTAGATGCTATAGGTAACCCTGTCTGGATCCTTCCATTGTGAGGGAGCCATATTTGCGGATGACTGCCTCCTGCCTGGACAACTGGGTGGTGCTGGAAGGCAGGGCCCAGCCTCAGCCAAGTCGGGGAGGGGATGTTAACCTGGGCCCTGGAGGGCAGGCAGCCTTGCTGAGCAGGCTAAGTCAAGAGCAAGGAGAGCACCCCAGGCAGAGAGGCGGCCATTCAGCCACTGCCCGTGTTTGCAAAGCTGGCAAATGAAGCTGAAGTGTGGCTGCTCCTCCATCCTTCTTTTGTTTTATTTTGTTTTTGTTTTTTTTAATCGATCAAAAACAATTCAGACCTTAGGAAGAAATATACGGAATTCCTGAGAGCTGGATTCTGCGGGGTGGTGAGTTTGTCCCTTTTTTATACACCAAAAGTATTTTTAGTTTTATCTTTTTGAAAAAAGTTTTCTCTTTTGCCCACCTTATCTTTACCTTTCTGTAAAGGGACCTGGAGTTGACATCCATTGTGAACATTAATTGTAACAACCTGCTGTCCATCCAGACCCATGAGACTGTCTGACTCAGGCAGCTGCATTTTAAGTTCTAGATTATGCCATTTTCCCTTGCATCTTTTTTCTTCTAATTTCTACCTGTGGGATTTCTACCCCTCCCTTATAATGTTGTTTCTAGATTATGAGTTTAGGAACTAGACAAATGATCTCAATTGTGTATGGATTAAGAGCAAAGTAAGTGCTGAGGGAGGATCTAATGATTTTTTTTTTCTTATGGTAATGTTTACACTAAGGTGACCTAGTCATCAATTTTGATGACTAAGGAACATGAATTTCCTGGTTCTCAAGTATATAGTCACCAAATAACTGACTTACTGAAAGGTGCCATATCATAATGGAATCTTTTTGAAAATTATATTGACAAAAGACTAGGACTTCTTAGGAATTAATTATGGTAGGACAAAGAAGGGTTACTGAAACTTGGCAGTGGGTTGAATTCAAGGACACTCACCTTCTTAATTTTTGCTGCCTCTCCATCTTCCCAGGCTGATCTGTGTGAAACCCAAAATGATGTGCACCAGTACCGGGGCTTGGCTGGACTAGGGTTGTTCCAACTTACTCATGCTCTTCACACAGACTTTTTTGTGCTCACAATATCATCTGGCTTTGAAGCACAGGAAGATAATATTTTTTACGTAGCAATGAATTGATACTTTGGCCTTATAAATGGAAGATTTGTCTGAGAGGTATTCTGGTGTCTAAATTTTAGCTCCTTGGTTCAAAATGCAGCTTTGCAGGAAGACTGCCAGGGGTCACTCTCATGGATTTCCTCTCACTTATAGTAATGAATTTGAGCCCCTAGAGTCTTATAATTATGGATCTGGCCTTGCAATTGTATTTTACATCAATTCAATTATTGCTGTCATCTAGAAATGGATTCAACCCTGTGAAAAACCCACAGATAATAAAGGGTTGTACTCCAAATAGAGGTTAGGTTTATATTCCAGTCTCCAGTTCTGTGGCATGATGCCCTTGATAGGTTAGGAAGACAGTTTGTGGAGATACAATGTCCCTTGGTGAGTTGCAGCTGGGGAGGCGTCCTACTTCCACAAGGTGTCTGCGTGGAGAGAGGAGGAGGCAAGGCAGAGGGCGGGCGGCACTTGGTTGCCATCACCTGACTTTGAACCTGCCCCTTTAGAACAAATAGTTTCTTTGAGGAAGCTGCTTGTAGTGTCATTTAATGATAACTCCTCATTGCAGATGCCCCATTACTGAAAGACTGATGTGCTGATTCTCCCCCCCTCCCCCCCGCCCCATGAACCCCTCTTAGACCCATAGAAGTAAAGTTAGAAGCCATGTGCAGTTAGTTATTGAAGGCAATTTATTGAGTATTATCTGCAAAGAACTTTGTATAGTTACCTTCCATGCCTACATGTTCCACATCTATTCAGCCAACCACATCAAAAATATTTGGGGGGTGGGGGGAGGCAAACAAACATGTATAGATATTTTTTTTGTTTTTATCCCATAAACAAAAGAGTATAACAACTTTGTTCGTAACATTTACCTTGTTTGAGGGATCATAAGTAATCTAGAGATGCTTTAAGGTCTCTGGGAGGATCTGCCTAGGTTACATGCAAGTACTGTAAAGGACTTGAACATCTTCAGATTTGGGTAGATGGGAGGATGCTGTAACCAGACCCCTGTGGGTACCCAGGGTAGCCATGTCTTATCTGGAAAGCTACTGTCTTGTTAGGGAACTTTTAAGGAATTTTGCTATAGAGTACAGAGTTCAATTACAGGACCAACCCTAGGCAAAACTCCTTCTCTAATTAATACAAGAGGAGGATTAGATGGGCAAAGAAGAAAAGAGAGACAGACGCAAAGTGTACTTGAGAATAGTTGATAATTGTATGCTTGGGACTTGGGTGCAGGGTAGAGGAAAACTATCAAAGGCTCTCAAAACCAGGTCTACATGTTTGAGGCTGGATAATGATAACTGAGAGTTCAGAAAATTTTGAGCAGGAAAGTGTTATGATGAAAGCTTGCAGAGGAAAGACTGGTTTGGTACATAAAAACCATGGCATGAAGTCTCTAAAGAGGGCACTGTCCTCATCTCAGCATAGATTTCCAATGACAGAGACTAGGACAGGGCTGCTGGGAATGAGGAGCGTGGAAGAAATAACAGACAGTGCATTTTATTTCACTTTCAAAGCTTGGAAGACCATATTGCTATGGCGTAGTAGTAGTTGAGATCTTTAAAGGTAAGGGACTGAATCTAATGGATTCCTCAACTGTATGTCAGGTTAAGTGAGTTGGAGAGGAATGTTTAGAGGAGATGAGGGAGAATCATCAATGTAACATTGGGGGCCTGGTTATAATTTACTAAAATAAACAAGACATTTGAATTGGGCTTAGGATAGAAAGAAGGTAAGAGAGCTCTCATGTTTATTTGTAGTTATGAGTGTTGAGCGCCACCTCGATCATTGACAAGGTAATAACTAAATCACTGTCTAAATTGGAACTTCACTTTTTTTTCATGACTTTTTTTCTTAATCTCTGTATCCAGTCACCCCAAACTATTTATGCCCTCTTTAAGAGTCTATTTTATCTTTATCTTTCTTTGGCATTCTTTTTTGTTTCCTTTTGGATGGGATGGGGGTTTGAACTCAGGACTTAGTGCTTCCAATGCAGGGGCTCTGTCACTTGAGCCACATTTTGCTCTGGTTATTTTGGAGATTGGTTCTCTCAGCCCAGGCTGACCTCAAACTGTGATCCACCTGACCTCAGCCTCCCAAGTAACTAGGATTACACGTGTGAGCCACTGGCTCCTGGCCCATTCCTTAGCATTCTTAACGTCCCTGTCCTAAGTTCACTTGCTCTCATGTTGTTTTCAGTGGATATTGACATGTATCTTACAATTACATGGCTGGTGCATGCTAGAATTTTTTTTAAGAGACACAGTCTTACTAGGTTGCCCAAGCTCATATTGAACTCTAGGCTCAAGTGATTCTCCTTCCTCAGCCTCCTGAGTAAGTGGGACTATACACCACCACAGCCAGTTATATGCTAGAACTTCACATATCAAAATACCATGAAAAGTAAAGAAACATGAAATTTGCATATGATATGAGCAAAGAAAGATTTTCAATAACTATCTCATTAAAACAGTAGGCTGACATTATGAATGGAGGCCACCACCAGGAACCCTGATAGCTGCACCTGCTCGAGATTTAATACAAGTAGAATGTTCCACCTTTTTTTTTTTTTTTCCTTTTTTCTTTTTGGTGGTGGTACTGGGGTTGGAACTCAGGGTTTTGCACTTGCAAGGCAGGTGCTCTACTGCTTGAGTCACACCTCCAGCCCTAAGTGTGACATTTTATATAACTCATATCCTTATATTTATGGTTTAGCATACCCTGTCTGAATATTTATGATTTTATTTTCAGCCAGTTAAGAACACCCATTCTGTTTTTCAGCTTCTCCAGTTGGCAACGGTTACATTAAGCCTCCAGTTCCACCTGCTTCAGGCACACACAGGGAAAAAGGGCCACCAACCATGCTACCCATCAACGTGGACCCAGACAGCAAACCAGGAGAATATGTTCTCAAAAGTTTATTTGTCAACTTCACCACTCAGGCTGAGCGCAAGATTCGCATCATCATGGCAGAGCCGCTGGTGAGTGTGTCGTGAAAGCTGTCCCTCTTTCAATTCTTCTGTACACTGAATAGAGCCATCCCTCCATATCCATGGGTCAACCAACTTCAGATCAAAAACATCTGGGAAAAAAATGCATCGTACTGAACATGTACAGACTTTTTTTTTGTCATTATTCACAATAATTTACACAGAATTTACATTGTATTAGGTATTACAAGTGACCTAGATATGACTGAAAGTACATAGGAGAATGTGAGCAGGTTATATGCAAATACTACACACTAAGGTATTTGCACATCCACAGAATTTTACGTCCAAAGGCGGTCCTAGCACCAATGCCCCATCGATAGACAGATGACTGTGTACTAGACCTTACCACTCAGACAAAGGATGGATTGCTGCTCTCCTAATTTGCCAATTTTTTTTTTTCTTAATATCATAGGTGATTAAAAGATAATAGTTGTTTCCTGGTTTAAGGGAAAAAATTTGAGCAACAGGAAATTTAAAACAATCTTCATTGTTTTATTGCATTGCTGCACTTAGGAGTTATAATCTAACAAGAAGTAGTGCTAATCATAGAAAATCTGTATTCACAGTCTCTGCTATCTGTATGTGCTTTAAGCAAAATCTTTCATCCTATTTTTAAAATAAATGAGAAAAAAAAACCACTTTTTAATGGCTGTCTGTATGAGCACATAGGTTCTTGGTACCAAATTGTCAGAGGAAGTATGTTGGTGAATTTTTCAGAAGCCTACTTCAACTTCTGAAAACTGGTAGACAGGAAACTCTTGACTCACTTACGTTTTGATCCCTCATTAGACCAAATGATGCCTTTGGACTTCAATGTCTTTCTTTGCAGATGCTTCTGCTGGAAAATAAGGCCTGGGTCAGCCTTGTGTTAATTGTTTTAACAGAGCTCTGAGGAGCACTGAATCTCTAAAGGACAGTCAGGAAGGAAGAAGGTGCAATTGGTAGATTCAGATTACTTGTTTTCTGACCTTGGTTGGGGTTATACACAACGAAAGAAAGGGAAAGGAATTCAGAGTGACGTGACACAGCTGTTTCTGTGACGCTTTGTCCCTCCGGGAGGATCCTGGAGCAAAGATCCATATAAGCTATAGCAGAGCTATAGCTTAAAATGACTAAGGGCAATGCTACTGAATCCACAGTACAGATCTCTGAAAATGTGTAACACGTGATGCATGTCATCTATTAAAAATGACCTTTGTAAGAATCACAATGTTAGGGTTGGGGAATCTGAATTCAAGAACAATTGATGTGCGTTTACCTGAAAGTTACAGACTTTCAGTTTACAGTTTTGATTAGATTGATGTAGGCTATCTTTATGCATGCCATTCATAAAATTATATTCAGTTATTAAATTTCTCCAATTAAAGAAAATATTCCTTATTTTTACAATTTTAAAATTTTTTCTTTTTTTAATTGCTGTAGGGGGAGGGGTATACTGTGACATTTACAAAATCATAGGTGAATTCACCCCTGCATCATTCTCCTTTATTCCCCACCCCCATGTTTTTTCAGTTTTGATCACTTAAATTTGTCCTTAATATAGTGCTTTTTCCCATTCACTCACATTTTTGTGTTTCTACTACTTTTACCACTGACGATAGCTAATATTTGCAGAGTACCTACTGTGAGCTAGGCACTGTGCTTAACTTTTCATCTTTACAATGACCTTAGATCATTTTCCATTCACAGATGGGAAAAGTTAGCACGGAGAGGGTTAAGTAATTGCTGAAGGTCACACAGTGTTGACTGGGACTCAGGCTCTTTGATACCAGAGCCCTCCTCTGTACCACAGTGGCTACACTCCATTGCCAGTCTTTGCATGGCCATCCTCATGTTCAGATATCTTTACTCACCTTTCACACCAGCACAGGGCTGTCCTGTAATTGAGTCAGCCAAGCCAAGAACAAATGCCCATTGCCACAACAGTGCTGACCCTCGGAACCCTGTACCCGCTGAGGCAGCTGAGACGTCTTCCTCTGCTGGAGGGAGGGAAGCTGTCTTGGGGTCCAGAGTATATGGGGGACTTCAGGGAGGAGTGAAGATTCATTGTACTCCTTAACATAAAAGAAGTGCAAAAATGGGGAATAAAGGCTTTCTGAAATTAGATATCCTAGCACATTTTCCTGAGGGTTGGGAAGTGGTACAAAAGTTAAAAGAGCTGATTTCTTTTGAGCTGTCTGGGTTTTCAGAATAATAGTTTAAATGCTGTTAAGTCTTTATGAAATGAAATAATTTGGGTTTTTTTTTTTTTTCATTTTTACTCAACTGGGATTCGTTTCTTTTTTCTTCTTGGAGTAAGCCCTAGGTCTGAGGAATTCACATGGGCCAGAATTCTTCTAATTAGAAGTACACATTGGTCAGGCACCAGTGGCCCACACCTGTAATCCTGGCTACTTGGGAGGCTGAGATTGGGAGGATCAAGGTTTGAGGCCAACATGGGCAAATAGTTCACAGGACAGTTGTGCCAAAAGAAAAAACAAAACCAAAAAAGAGGTAGACATTGTGTTCCTTTCTATGACACAACTTAAATATCTTCAAACCAAAAAAAAAAAAAATTAAGTATAAGGTTTTTTCATCAGCAAATCTTTGTTGTATACCTAACACAAGAGATGTGGTAAGTACTAATGGCCAAGCAGATGTACTTGAAGTTTTTTTGCTGAAGAAATGTACTCAACCAATTTTTGTTATCGTTGATTGTCATAAGAGACTACTTACTCCTTGTATTTTTGGCAGAGATGCTAACTTCCATGGTATATCTATTTCTTGTCTGCTGAAAAACTTGGTAATTTTTTGTCCTTACATTTGCTTATGTATAGGACAGTAACTATAAATGAATTCTGTGTCTTGTTACCTGATCCTAAAAGTATAAATGTGCATTTGGCATTTTATCCTGTTGCCATGGCAAGAAGTGGGTTTTTTGCTGTTGTTTTTGCAGTGCTGAGGATTGAACCCAGGCTCTGTGCATTCAAGGCAACCATTCTACTACTGAGCTATACCCCAGACAAGGAGGTGTTATTTTTTTATATATGTAGAGTACATTTAAGGGAAATTCTAATAAATGTCCCCTTTTGTCACTGGTTTAGTGTCATTTAGAAAGATATTGAATCCTAATGGAGGTTTCCAAGGGAGCTTCTGTCTCAAAACCTCATAAGCATGTTATCCTCAGTATAACTAAAACTTGAGGTGGGAAAGGTGATTTTAAAAAATTTAGAAATATCATTTATTGTTTGGTGGGCTATGCAGGAATATATATTTTGTTGTTGTTGTTGTTGTTTAATCTTTAAAAGATTGACTGTTTCAGAATTCCATACTATTAGCAGCTCCAAGTCTGCACTGCTCACTACTTGAAAGCCAATATTCAGAGGACACAGCTGGTCAGAAGGAATCAGGTTTATTCAAGTGCAGGTGTCCTGAAGATGAGGGCTGTGGCCCTCAAAACTCCATCATGGGGAATTCAGGGGTACAAAGGACGTTTTTATAGGTAGGGAAAGGAGAGGCAGAAGAAAAGGACAGGAAGAGTGCATGCTTTTAAGAGCAAGATCTTCATCATCCAGAGTGTGTGTGTCCTATTTTTCTTTCTTCTTAGGCTGGAGTATTGCAATGGACCTGGACCTCCTGGGGTTAGTTCCTATATTTTCTTCAAATACTCATATTACTTTTATGCAAGTTAAACCTCACAGTAATTTACATGCTTTGTTTCAGGTTTTGTACAGAGCAAAAGACTAAAGAGGGACACTAGATATTTTGAAGTTTTCTGAAGGTCACCAGATGTACTGCACTTAACATCTTAATTATTTGGGTGCAGCTTTCTCTTCAGCACTTAGAATTGTGGGCAAAAGGAAGAGGATTTAGTCCTTTCAAAAGGCACAGAGAGGGGAATTAACCTTGTAGAATAGCCAACAGAGAGAAAGCAAAAGTAACTCTGCCAAGGACTGGCCTCTGTTAGGACTGTGTGCGATAGGTTATATACCATATTAAAGTAGAGTTTAAAGTTTTATTTATGACTTTCCAGTATCCAAGTAACTAACCATAATCAGGGAGAAAAGGACAGGAAATAAAATATCCTACCAAGATCACGTTTTAGAATTCTTTTGTGTGTAAATATCTTTGTAAACATCGTTCGCTTGTTCAGCAGCATTGCTCTTTGTACCTAAAAGATGCTTAATCACTAATATTTATGGATAAGTTAATAATTTCATTTTACATTTACTGGTTTTGCTCTTATGCAGTCTTATTATTATTTCACTTTCCCAAGTGTTCTGAACAGCTAACTGGGGCCATCTGTGTTGTTTTTGTATTTTTATTTCAGAACATAAAAAGTACATAAAGAGTCGTCTTCAGGTGGTAAATAATTCAGTCTTGTTCATCTCAATGTCTTCATTTCTGCCTCATTTATCAGTATTAGAATGGAGCTCTAGGTTGACACTCATTCTCCCTCTAGTGCCTAAGGGCTATATTTCACTGTGTCTCTTCCATATTGCTGTTGGAAAGTTTGAGAATGTGTACCTTTCATCAGTTCTGAAAAATTCTTGACCATTAATTGTGTGAAAATTGCTGTTTATCCACTTTTCCCATTACCCTTTTCTGGAGCTCCTCTCAAACATTTATTGATCCTCTTCATGGTACATTGCATATCTCTTTGCCCTTCCTTTGTTATTGCTACAACTTTGTCTCTTTCTACAGCCTTCTGAGTAATTTTCTCAGATCTGTCTCCCAATTCATTAATGCTCCCTTGAGCTATGTCTAATCTGTTGCTTAATTCTTCCATTTTGATGACTTATTTTTCACTCCCAGAAGTGCTATTTGGTTCTCTTTCAAGATCTATTAAAGTTTTTGTTCTGGGTTTTTGGTTTCTTTTTTTTTTATTGCATTTTTTGTTTTTATTTTTGTTTTGTGGTACTGGGGTTTGAACTCAGGGCCTCACTCTAGGCAGGCATTCTATCACTTGAGCCACTCCAACAGCCCTTTTTGGGTTGGGTGTTTTTGAA